TTTTAAAATGCTATAACCAATAATTTTGTACATAAACTTCATTCTAAACTTTAGTAGCATCTAAAGGTAGCATTTGTGGCTTTTATAGTGCAGAAATGCTTTATCCTTTAGAGAAATCTTCTTTTTCTCTCTTTCATTTCATTACTTTAGTATCAGCACATCCAGTTAGTCCTAGCTCTCCGATAACTTTTTCATACTGTTGGGTAGTCTCAGAGCAGCTGAGAAGTACAAGTTTTCATGGACAGAGAGAGTACCCATGATGACATCATCCTTTAAAGAGAATGTAAATTATAAAAATATACAATGATGAATATAATTAAGATAAGTCAAGATATAAGGACACCTCTATAATCAGGACAGGTACATTGCTTCCCATAAAGCATGCTAAGTGACCTAAACAGCACAAGCTAACAAGCACTATCATTATAGTACATGGCTACTTTAAAAATTTATAAAAAATTTAAGTTTGATCGGAATTGGCTCAAACTTTCTACACAACATAAGAACATGTATATGTAACAGAGAAATTATTAAAATAAATATTCACTCCTTTTTATTTTTTTGGCAAAATTTAAAGGGACTTTGGTCTGATTTTTGAGTAACTTTAAAAATTTGTAAAAAATTAATTTTGATTAGAATCAACTCAAATTTCTAAGCAACATTAAAACTTGTATATGCATTAGAAGCAACTATAGAATGGAGAATTCTCTCTTTTTTTAATGTTGGCAAAATTTGTGGCCCATTTCTCATTTAAATAAACAATTTTAATGAAACTACATGTACATGTATATACAGAAAGAAAAGGAGAGAGAGGAAAGTTTAATTATTTAAGCTATTCAGTAACTCAAAAAATATGAACAAAGTATACCTTGTACCATGTTTATAGGAGTTAAAGGGATACTGGTGCAGTTTACGGAAGAGCTTTAGTACACGGAAAGTTTATAAACAAAAAAATGGCTGCGGATTTGTATCTTGTAATATAGCAACAGTTTATGCTCTGATTCTTGCTTCTTGAGCTCTGATACTTCAACAAATGATGCCTTATGTTTATCTCCACCAAACTAAAAGGTAAGCACTTAACAGCATTTTTCTTCATCAAGTTTGCCATCCATAAAAGGCTAGTGTCTTTTTGATGGGTGAGTTTGACCATAAAGCTGTGTTTACTGGAGTCCATATCTTTCTGAGCCCTTCTTAGGCCTTTATGTGACATCATAACTTAGCAGGGCTTTCTCTCTGTTCCTCTCCATGTCAATATGAATGCTCTAAGGAAC